CATGTTGATTTTCCACTTCAGTTGGAAGGCAGGAGGTATGATGGTACTAGTACTGTCCCTTCCGTTGGTTGCACCTGCCTGCCGTGTCCTGCATCGCCATTGCCTTGCCATTGCTGCTGCAGTTGCCCCCAGTGGCTCTTGCTCTGTTCCAAGTGTTGCTCTTGCCTTCCATCCATCAAAAGGGTCCGCGATTTGGGCGCGCCTGCCTGGCCAAAAAGTAACCTTCTTTCCAGGTTTGCGTGGTGTTTCTGTCTTGCCCCTCATGTGCCTTCCCTTCCCCAAAGGTACCCAACAAGGCACTTGCCTTACCTTACTGCACCAACATCTCACCTTCCAACCGCAACCCTCCACGCAGCCCCCGAAAATAAGTTACCGACTGCCGTTCCGTCTGTCTCCTCTTCGGCTCCGTCCTATCTCTCCTGCTTAACTCCATTTTACCGGTTTACCTTTTCCTTTTGATTTTTTTCTTTTCTTCATCGTCTTCTTCTTCTTATTCACTTCTCTTCATTTTTGACTGTTGGTTGCCCCCCTCTTCTCGGTCGACTCTTGCCTCTTCCCGGCTTTCATCTCGTCACCGAAATCAGAACCAGACCATACCGTCATCATCAAATCTCCGTCCTCCCGTTCTGGACGCAACCCTGGCCGGTGTTATCTTACCTTATCCCTTGGTACCACCTTCACCACCCACTCACCACTCTCTGCGACTGCGACTGCGGGAACCCCAACTCGACCACGCCACCCCCCGTCGACTGACCGCCTGCCTGCCTCGTCCTCGCGTCGCATTGCCTACTGGTGCAGCCAGCGACCGTCGACCCTCCACTCATCACCCAATCTTCCTGCCGCACCGCAACACGCCGCTCCCGCACCCGCGCCCGCCGCACCGCCGCCCTGTGCCTCGCTGCGTTGCCCTGCGTGCTTGCGACCCTGCGACTTTGCGACCTGCTTGCTTCACCTAAAGCAACCAAGTCAGCCTTTTTGCGCTCCCGCCCGCCCAAACACTTTGTCAAGTGTCCGGCGCCCGTTTCATCCATACACGACACGCCAGCATTGAGTCTCGGTGTCTTTTGGTCTCTCTGCTTTGGTCTGCTCCATTCATTCGTCTCTTCACCTAACGACCCCCTGCGGCTGCATCTGCGACTGCGCCTGAACTGAACCGTCCACCTTCTGGCAATCTCTCGGTCCGCAACTGTCAACAGCAGTCTGCAGTCTGTCACTGTGTGTTTTTTTCCGACTGCCGCCATTCGCTCGGCCATCCATCGATCGACACCACCCATTCTTAACTGCGTCCTCTCGACAACTCCTCCCTTTCACTGCCCCATTGGACCATTTTCTGCCGCTGCGCACGCGACCGACCGCGTAAAGTGGCTTGGTCAAGCGAAGCGACCCCAGCGCAGCGCTACCGCCACGACTAGACTGGACTGGACCACTCCCTCCCAGTCCCAGACTCTCAGCGAACTGACTGGATCGCTGGGCCGCTACCTACACCTGGACCTGGCCCTGCCCTGACGAATACGGCGGCCTGCCTACCAAAACAGTTTGCTCAGCATTGTTGACCCCCCCGGTCTTGGTATCAAGGGTCTCTGAATTATTGGGACTTCATTTCCCCCACCATCGTCAAAGCAGCCCAGGCCAATCTCCCTTCACCTTCCAGTTTTACCTCCCGCCTGACAACCAATTCCCGCCAACCCCGACGACATTCGACGCCTTTCGATTCCAACCTGCCATGACCCTGGAATCGCCGACTTCACCACGAAAAACTTAGCTTTTCGATCTCACTTCAACCATCCAGGTGACCATGTCCGTTTGCGTCGAGCAGTCACTGCACACAAACGACGACGACCACCCCGACGTCACGAATAACGTCTCCCGAGACCGAGACCCCTCCGGTATCGATAGGCGACCGTCGCGAGACGACTACAATGGTAACGCCAACGCTACAGAAGAGTTGACCTCGATCATGACTGCCTCAATCATCACAACAATCCTCAACACCGCTTCCAACCCCGTATCTCCCGGACCCTCCAGTCCTCCCCTCGAACAGGCCAAGAGCAATGACTTCGTGCCCCCGACCCGCCCCAGCAGCACTCCCTTCCTCCACCCCGATCAACGAAACTCGGATTGCTGCTGTCCGATGGCTGAGGACACTGAGGCCTACGGAGGCCCGGGTATCACCACCCATCCCTACTCCCTCGAGACCCCGGAGGCCTCGCCCTCACTGAACCTGAACGATCTTCCCGCCGAGATTCACGAGTGCATTCTTGATCATTTATTCGGATACCGCGTATCCACAACGTCAAAGAGTTCGGTGGGCATGCCGAGCGTGACCAAGAGCTGGGGAACCGCGCTGCGACACTCTCGGCGCAGGGAGTTGTCAGAACTGGCCCTGGTGAGCCCGGTATGGAGAATCCTGATTCAAGAGCGCTTGTATCGCCATATCAAGATCAAGGCGACGGTGGAATCCCTCGAGATGGCCATGATTTACTTCAGCGAGCACGACCACCTTCGTCGCTACGTGAAACACATTGAGATTTGGTTCCCGGTGTTCCAGCCCAAGTACGGACCGCTGGCGCTAAGCACTACCCTCGCCCTCCCAACAGTTACCATGGACGGATTGACGAATGCGACCTACACCCTTCCCGCCAACAACTGCAGCCTAGAGGAGGCCTTCTCTTTCGTCTCCCAGGCCCTGCCTGACGTCTGCGTAATGACGATTGAGGGTGGTGAGAGAAAGAAGGCGCCGAAGGTGCAGCACAGCTGGCATAGGCGGCCGGCTGGCTGGCATCTTCCCACCCTCGAATCGGTGCGCACCCTGGTGACCAAAGGCCAATGGAATCTCATGCGCAGCGACTCCGATTTTGCAGCCATTTTGGGTTCCCTCCCTAACCTGAACGAGTGGCACGGCTCCTACAGCAAGCCTAAGTCCAAGAGCTACCTAAGCATGGCCAGCATTCTTCCCAAGCTGCCAACAAACTTGACGTACCTCAACTTATGCCTGGAGAGCGACTACAGACGGGAATTGACGTGCCCTCCGTTCTACATGAAGGTCTCGAACCAAGTACACTTCTGTACTCGGCTGGCGGATGCGACACCGGCGCTTGAGCACCTGGCATACACTGGCCGTGTGTGCAAGGCCTTTTTCAACATGGCAGCCATCAGATCCGACCCGAGAACAACCCGGCTTAAGACGATTGACCTGACAGTCAAAAACTGCTGCCGCCCGGTGCCACAGTTCCACGACTCGGGAAGTGGAATTCAAGATATGAACTTTATCCACGCGTTTGAGATGCTTGTCCTTGCAGGCATCCACTCCATGTCAACTCTGAAGGCACTTGACTACCTGCGGATTCGGTTTGTGGACTTGGGTATGTACTACCTCCAACACCCTGCACTGGCTTTGTTGACGAGTTGTTAGATTCTCCTGTTCCACCACTGAACCCGTACTTTGTCCTCCGCGACGGCTGGTGCTCAGGCGTATGGAGCGACAATATTCTAGCAGAGTTGAACCGAGTGCGACCAAATGCGAAGTTTGAGCAGTTGAGCGAATCCTTTGGAGAAGTCGGGTTTAACAAGGACGGCCGCATGATCATCAGCCCTGACTACCCGCGCTCGAGAGTCCTCTCACTGAAGCTGGCTAACTATGCCCTGCTGGCTGGTAGCGTTGCCGCATTGCCATAGAAAGCCACACATCTGCGCACGAATGAAAAAGCAAGCAAAGCGTGAAAGACGTCATATGCTTCCTTTTCTGCTTTTCTTTATATCACGACAACAATGAACTTGCACAGCAACAAGGGGTACCGGAAGGGGCGTTAATTCGAGGTTTCTGCGCCATAGAAGCATCATACCCCTAATCTGATTTGGGAAAACCTGGGTCCATGACTTTCTTATCTCGATGGAGTTGGGGGCATGACATATGGAACGATGGTTTAATATGGAGTCTGGACGGAAGGGGGGCAAGAATCGGCAAGTTCGTTTTGAGGCATCTTTGTCTTTTGGCTCTGCATCCGGAGGAAACCATTCCTCCTTCTCTTGTACACCAGTCGTATATGGTCAACAAAAATGATTTCTCTTTCTGCTATTGCGTTCCCTGGCCCATTCGAGCATGATGTAGATATGGCTGTTACCCTAAGCAAAGGACCAGCATGCGTGTATTCCACTGCTTTCATTATGAGTGATTAGTATGCAGCCTCAACTGAGTTTGTGTGCTTCAGCGAGAGTCTATGGGGGTTCCCTACTTTTGTGCTGTGACCCCTCACCTCTATCAGCCCACGCCTTCTTTCCGCAGGTGTAGTAGATCAGCCTATAAGATGCTTCCTTGCATTTGATAGTAGAAGGTAGAGTAGAGTACCAGCACGAGAAGCAAAGGGGTTATGCTGCGAAAGAAAAAGAATATCAAAACACACAAAAAAGCTCAGGTTCTTTCTAGAACCCTACGAAAAACCGACGGTTTTTACGACTTGAATGCTTGGTCTTTGTGGACCTGACTTGAATGCTCGGTCTTTATGGACCTGTCTTTTTTTCGATGGTCGTTATGGACCGTTTGACTACGCGGCCGCGTCGGTGAGGGGTTTCCCCCCCGACGACTGCTGCCAGAACTTGCTCTGATAGAGTTTGGGGGGAGCTCTCAAGGTAGGTAGTTTGCCTGAGGTAGATCGTAGTCGTTCGTTTGAGAGGGAAGGGACGGGGAAGGATGGGGAAGGGACGGAACCAAGCCTCTTGCCGTTTCTGGTTTCCTCGAGGCAACCTGTGACGCGGGCACCTGACGGAGATGCCACTGTTGGGATTCGAAAGAACTACCCCCCTTCTTACTGGAATGGATTTGCCCTTACGAAGGACAATATGTTCTCATGTGTCTTCTACTTGTTCACGTACGATGAGCTATGGGAGCCAACCCGCTGCACCGCTATCTAGGAGATTCCCGAAACCAGGGTGCTGTCCCACTGTCTCCCACACCTCGAACCTGAGAAAGATGGAATCTCGGAATGCGAAGTTGACAGTGCTGGCTATGACCGTAGGAACCCTTTTCTCCCATCTCTTAGGATTTTTCGATAGGCTCTATCGGCGCTGATCAGGTGCAACGCCGTGCGATACGCGCAACGCGTGATGATCAGACCGGCCGCGGCCAAAGGCCCGACGATGGCGAAGACTGTGAACTCGTACGAAGCGGAGTGGGAGAAGGCGTTTTCCGCAAGAGCGTTGGTGGCCAGCCCCAGTTGCATAGCCGTCAAGAGAATCGCGATGTACACCGTGGCGGACGCCAGCCAGGCAAAGTTGTCACGGAAGAATACTCCGTGTCGATACGACCGCGAAACATACGTGCTTTCCCTGGAATTAGACCGTATAAACAGAAGTGTGTGCAATCGGCTGCGGCGGAGTTCGCCGTACACGAACCTATCGTGGATATGGCCATTCGAATGTTTCGTGTTGAGTTCCGCGACGAAGCGTTTCCAATCTGCCCATTCGATTTGGCCTGGCAGTAGGAAGTTGTCCTGCGCGAGGCGGAAGTCGCTTTCATGCCGTATCATGGCGTGATAGGAATACAGGAAGCCCAGTGCGGACTTCCAGAGCGTCCGACGTGAGCATGACTTTGAGGGGTTGTCGAAGCTGTCACAGCCGTCTCTGCAAGATAGATGCCAGGTCCGGAAGGTAGGCTCTGACAAGAGGGCAAAACGCCCTTGGCGTAGAATTGCGTGTGGAGCAGACGAGGTGGAGGTCTATTGCTTCGACGACGATGATGTCTCGGCTTAGGACGCGCTGGGAGTGCAGCGCATTGGGTGGCGTGGGCTTTTCCGCGATCCAGAGCCTGCTGACGAGTTCGTGGAGCCTGCCCTGGCCCAACTCTGCGTTGAGAAACTCCTCCTCGTCGAGTTTCGGTGGCGAGATGATATCTTTTTGGGGTGCGTCTCAGAATGCTGCCTGTTTTGGCAAGATAGGAGGCAGGCAAGAGAGAATCGAGATGTTCCTCTGTTTTGAGCACTCGGCTTTGGAAGGGGACGATAGATTGGTTGGGCTTGCATGTGTTAGCACAAGATCTCGGCGTGAAAGAATCAATGAAGTACCCATTGTGTTTGTGACATCGCCTTCTTGGGTATGGGAAAGCCTCCTGCATGGGTTTTTTTAGGTTCACCTGTAAGGATTACACAGGGACGAAGGAGTCAATTTTACATATTTTGCCTCGATAAACTTTCGGCGTCGGCAGAACATAGCTCAGGGTCTAACTCGCTAGGCTTCCTTCAGCTCCGGAGGAAGTTGTTTGTGTTGTTCAGCCACTCCGCCAGGCCTTGCTCTCTTGATTCGTTTCCTCTGAGAAATTTACCTCGTTCATTTGGAGACCAGCTTTGTTTCTTGCGGGAGTTGGACTCCAAATACATGTTGTGATACTCACCTGAGATGATGGGTAAATGTTTAAAGTTAGGAATAGAATGGAAACCCGAAGACAAAAAGGGGTGGAACGAGAGAAATAAAAAGAAGAAGCTCAGGTTCGTACCTGGGCCTCAAGACAACGCGGCGAATTTTTCGACTGCAGATTCTGTTACGAACCGCCTGATCAAGTTTCCCGTGGAATTCTTGGGAGGACCCAGCGGTTGAGGACGCTTACAAGAACGCTTCAGAAGGTAGCATAATGTCAGCTCTCGTGTTGTGCCTGGAGGACGCATGCCATGTGTAAGAAGAAGCGTCAAGTGATGATTACAGATGTTAGATGTGTGACAACGAAAGACAATGAATAGGGACCATCCATCAAGTGAAGAGGACTGATGGAGGGGAATTTGTAGACAAATCACTCCAGCTAACCGAGGCATATACCTGGAAATGCCAGCTTCGATTCTGATGCCAACCAGAGAGCGAAGCATCTAACGGGAGCTTGGCAGTGATCCTATGTCAACGATAATTGCCCAACCCGACAAGTCATTCATGCGAATTGTCCAGATGAGAGCTGCAACCGCTGACACGAAGAATACGAGACCCTCGCGAGCAAGCTCAGCCGAGGTAAATTCAAGGCCCGTGTTGTCAAGGGGAACAGAAGACGAACCATGCTCTGAGGAACCCCATGGTTCACGGGAACTCCCGTCATGGCACAGGATCCGGCATGAACCAACGTTGCAGCGCGTCTCGGAAGAGCCCCGTAAAGATCGGCGACGGAACGATCTCGTCATGTCGTTGTGGTTGATCTACTCGGTATTGGTGCGACGTGGTGGAAACTGGAGTTGTCAGCGGCGGTCCGGACTTTTGGAGTGTCCGATATCCCGTGTCTCTGTCGTTTTATGAGATGCTGGCTTGTAGACGAGACTGATGATGTCGAACTAAGAAGTTTCCTTCTTTGGAATGGAGAGGTTTGTATTAAATGATTGTTGATTAAATACGACTGCAATTCGCAGCAAGTCAAACTCAAATCATTCACTTTCTGATCGACGTTTAGTTTCCCGCTAGCCCCACCTGTCAACTCAATTGCTCTTTACAATGTCCAGAACGTTAAAAGTCGGCGTCATCGGTCCCAAAGGCCAGGCGGGAAGCTGTGTGGTCGATGAGCTCTTGGCGCGAGGCCACTCTGTCGTCGGCATCTCGCGAAGTCCTCCCGAGCAATGGTCCAGCTCCGATAAGGGCACTTGGTCGCAAGTGTCTGTGGATATCCACAAAGAGCATACGAAACTGGTTGAAACATTCTCGTCTGGTTTCGACGCTATTGTCTCTTGCTACGGACCAAGTCTTAAGGTCATATCGAACGTGTACTCGGAGGCCGTCGAGGGACACGGGAGGATCAAGACGGCTTTGTTGGCTTCGACACACGATGGCCCGTTCATCATCGTTGGTGAGACTGACTTCTTTAATTGAGAGTATTTGAACTGTTCTAAAGCGTGTGATAGGTGGCGCGGGGTCGATTCACGTATCTAATCGTCTCCAACTTACCGACCAGGAGGGGTTTGCGTTTAGTTGGTGGTACAGACTCAAACCCCTCGCATCCCGGTAGCGGCTCGACTGACTGAGTTGTAGGTGGAATTGGCCCGATGAGCATCTCGACTACATGACGGCGCGCGGGCTGGATCACGGAAGCCGGTTCATCAGCTTGGTGGCCACGCTTGTGAAATGGAGCAGGTCTCATATTCAACGGCCGAGATGTAAGTTCTACCCTTTCAGTCGCATGGGGTCATCTTGGGGCGGAATCTGACGATTTGTTCCGATATCAAGTCTATTCTTGGATTCTAAGCCCCTTCGTCTATTGGGCGCGGGCTTGGGTGAGGGGCGCTTTGACGAACAAGCACACCCTGGGGTTAATCACCGGCAGCCGGATCGCTTTTACTATGTGGAATGGTGTCCAGGAGAAGTCATGGTCTTTCTTGTCGCCGCCCGGTCTGTTGCGTGACAAAGGTAAGTATTCAAAAAAGATTCGCAACATCGTTTGCTAACATATTTGTCCAGGAGTGCGGACGGGAGAGTACAAGGTGTATGTGGACAGTCCCGAGGATCCTGCGGTTGAGGCAGCAAACGGCGGTATCTACAACGAGGACATGGCCGTTGCCATCGTCGATGAGGTTGAGAACAACAAACTGGCATATAAGCACTGGAGTTGCACCGGTCCCATCGGACTGGGCAAGTGGTAGTTGTCGAGGGAAGGCAGCACTCATCGACAACATATAGTTCAAAAACCAAACTCGTAGCTTAGAAACATTGAGTTATACTTTGTCGGTGACATGCTCATAAGTCCGGCGGCATTTTAGTTAGGATGGAGACTTCGTGGTCCGGATTTATAATCCAGAAAGCCCCGACCGGAGATGGTGCCAGGGAGAGCACCGCGTCCGACCCCTCGCGGTCCGAAACCCACCGGCTCGCTCCGCGTCGAGACTCTGTCCATCTCACGCCGAGCTGCCGATGCCTACCGCATCGCATAAGCAGGAGACTTGATGACCAACCGGAGGTCCGATATTGCTAAAGAAGGTTCAATCATGCTGCGACGTGAGTCGGTGAAATCGGCGTGTTGGTGTGAGGATGGCGGGTTACCCCTCATTTGAAGAGGTGATGGCCGCTTCGCTTCCCCGAATCCTAATGAAGATGATTGAAACACTCTGGACGGGACGAACGAATAGGAATGGTTGGAGGCAAACCTTACCCCGGGTTATGGCAGCGGCGGAATCATGAGGTCCTTGCAGGTGTATTGGGCTGGATGATACATAAGAACGACCTACCCCTCTCTCACATCCTTTGGTATCGTGATTTTCATTCCTTTACATCATATTGCTCAAAGATCGCATTGATTATCATCAAGAAAGACCTATACTCTCATCAAGACCAAGAACCAGGGAATTGCATTCAACATGGCGCCCGGTGACAAGGCTAAGGCAAAGTTCTTTGCTATCATTGAAGACCCGAAGAGATATGATACCACATGTAATACGCTCCTCATTGAAGAGTGCAGAGGCCGCGGGACTGATAAAAACCTTTGCAGGCTACAAGAATAGACCCATGGCGACGAGGACCCCGTCCGGGGGATCCGAGCTGACCAACGTTGTCAGCCGCCGCGAGAGCTCGAGCAGTACCGGTTCGAACCACCAACAAAGCCGCATCAGGGGCATGTTGAAAGAGTGGATGAATCGGCCGGCGTACTAATGCAGAGAGGGGTTGGTGGGTGTAAAGAAGACCCAGTAGCGAAATATTGACGAATGATCAAAGGAAAGGGGGCTTACAAGAAATTGCAAATAAATACCAAGATTCCCCAAACACAATTCTTTTCCACAGAAATGAGAAATAATGATCCATCGTTCCGAAAAGCAACTACGAAGTCGAAAGATGGCAGCTGTTGGGCGTAGCACTTTGGTTCATGTTCTATCGATTATCCTGATGGAAACTGGGCTTTTTGCTTGAAGTGATGCTTCTGGATCGTATGTTGCAGCAGTACCAGCGATTACAAATGACATCGGGGCTTTTTGATGAGTGTGCGTGGCTGAAAGCAAAATAGCTTGGGGTAATCTGAGCAACACCGCCACCTTCAATAGGCAACAACAACGTATGGCTGCCTGGAGTTGACAGTGCCGCAAAGTTGGCTGCACTTTTGTTGTCAATCACATAAATGAACCTCCTCGTACCGGGCTTACTTTACTAGGAGTCCCAAAGTCAACAGACTTCCCAAATACCATCGCAATCTCAAATCACCTACCAAGATGCCGCTGTCTTCCGTGACCATTCCGCCTTCGACAGCCCACACACACACCATCATCTTTCTCCACGGTCGCGGCGATAATGCGCAAACCTTTTCGCAATCTCTGGCATACTTCACAGACTCCCGAAATCGTGCTCTGGCGGACGAGTTCCCGTCATTCCGCTGGGTCTTCCCCCAAGCCGAGCTGAGCATCCCCGTCGCCTTTCCAAGGGACAAAGTGTCGCAGTGGTTCGACATTTGGAACGTGTCCGACTTCTCTGAGCGGGAGGAGCTGCAGGCCCAGGGTCTCAGAGAAAGCGTGTCTAGGACGCGAGAAATCATCAATCAAGAGGCGGAGTTGGTGGGTGGAAGGTACGACCGCATCATTCTTGCAGGCATCAGCCAGGGCGCTGCGACGAGTGTACATACGCTCCTCAACCTGAATTTGCCAGAGGGCCAGGAGAGGTTGGGCGCATTCCTGGGATTTTCTTGCCGCATGCCGTTTCCTGGGAGAAACCTCACCGACACCCGTGCGATTTTGGGACTAGAAGACGTCCCGGGAGATGACCGGCTGCTGCGGAATACGCCAATGTTACTGGAGCATTGCGTGGATGATCCTTTGGTACTCATCAAAAACGGCCGCGTTCTGCGGGACACGCTGAGAGGGTTTGGAAGTCAGGTGGAATGGAGAGAGTATCAGGATGGAAGACATTGGTTCAACTCGCCTGCTGGTATGGACGATGTGATACGGTTTTTGAAGGCACTAGGGTTCGATACGGATAAGAAGATAGAGCAAGCAAGCGGTGCCATGGATCTCTCATAGACACATCTTTATGAAACCTAGTATGGAATCATCACTGAGGCAATGTACATAGAAAGAAATAGAAGTATTAAGAGCTACTTCTCAATCTGTATTGCAATGACCTTACCTCTCAGCTAAGCCGAGGTACTACTGGTACTTGATCGAATCCTCTATCAGACGTGAAGCCTAAAGCATTGTTCTTCACCTGTCGTATGTTGTCGCAAAGCCATCGTCACGCTTACTCGCCAAGGAAAGTGTCAGCAACATACAGCTCGCGGACGTTGGTCATGTTCACTCCGACGAGTTTCCACGCCATGATGCCCTCGACAATGTTCTTGTTCTCCTGGTCGAGCAGGACGTAGCTCATGACGGGGTCGGTGAACTCGGCCTCCTGGCGGAAGTAGGCGTCGTCCTTGTTCTCGATGAAGTGCTGTTTGTTCTTTCTGTAGCGCTCGTGCTTGCGCATCTTCTCGACGAGCTTCTGGTCGAAGAACATCTGGCCGGCGTGGGTGGCGACGTTGTTCTGGACGGTGTCGTTGGCGAGGGCCTCGGTTCCGGCGGCGTGGGTCATCATGTGGACGTGCGGGGTGCGGCCGGCGTAGTGACCCGGGAAGTTGGTGCCGAACCAGACGGCTCCATCGGCGTTGGTCTTCTGGATGCCGCGGTGGAAGGTCTTGAAGGCGTTGTCGGGATCGGAGTCGCCGGCACCGTTGGTATTGGTGACGACGCCGGAGTAGACGCCGGTGGCGTTCGCGTCTAGGTAACGTTAGCAGGATATTCCTGGAATGGAGAGACAGAGGGAGAGGGCTTACGCCAGACTTCGACCCAGACGTCAGGGGCGGGCTCGCAGGTCTCGGTGTCGATGATCTGGAGGTCGAGGTACATGGGAATGCCAAACTCGTCGTCCCAGAGGGCCCAGCGGACAAGCTCTCCCTCGACGTCTGTCACCATAGAGTCAGCATTGGTCGCTTGGAATTTCTGAGGACGGAGCACTTACAGAAGGGACCCTCGGTGGTCTCGATGCTCAGCACGCAGCCGTCGTCGCGGGTAGCAAAGACCTCAGCATCAGTCGAATCCATGGTGATGCTGCCATCAGTGATCTCATGGTCGGTGTTGAGGACGTTGTCGACGTTGCGGCGGATGAGCTGAGAGTGCTCGTTGTACTTGGCGATGCGGCGAGCGACAGCCTGATCGAGGATTCCACGCTGCTTAAGCTTGGGAATGCAGTGGGCAAGGTTCATGGTGTTGTTGATGGAGTACTCCTGGCGAGCAGCGATCTCGCCCGTCAAGCCAAGGGACCCGTGAGCAGCAGCAAGACGAGGCATCACAACCAGGACGAACATGGCGACGACGTAAACGGCGAAGCCAAAAGGGGCGATCTTCCATCCAAACTTGAGGCCCTCCATGACGGCGTACTGAAGTCTGGGGAGGTCAATCACCTGATTGATGCTGTGGTAGCACTTGCTGGAGAGAGAGGGAGTGTGGTCATCAATGACGATGAAATCGCCAGAAGCAATATCGCGCTGAATCTTGATCTTCTCGTCGGTGATTGCCATGTAACCCTTCTCGAGATTGAGATCAGTGCCTGCGGCTTGGTGCTGGGTGGTGAGAGCCATTGTGAAAGGAGCAAGTCGTGAGACAAGGACGTCGCAACGTATGAACATAAAAGAATTGTTTGAAAGAATGAATGAAGAAACGTGAGACTGTTCAAAAGACAAGCAACCAAGCCCAAAAAGCTAAAAACTATTTCGCGTGAAGAAGCGATTTGGTAGCGTTGTTGTTGAGACGATCTCGTGAGGTTGGGTTGGTGGGTGGTTAAGTTATTTTTATTTTTCGAGAATGGAATAAAAACCTCTTGTGCCCAAGCTGTGGTTCGAGCTCAGGGACGAAATCTCAGGTGAGAAACTGAAGCAAACTATGAAAGGAAGGAGCGAAGGTGGGCGAGGAAGGCAGGTGAAGGAGGTGTGTGGGGCTTTGCATCTCAGGCAGGAGGTTGAGATGGAAAGAGCATAAGTCTAAGGAGTATTCACCTAATAATAAGTTAAGTGAGCCTTGTAGTTTCAAGCTCGACCCAATAACTATGCTAAGATTTACCACACTTTGCGTAGCTATGAGACAAGACATTGAAACTCAGCAGAGCTGATATCCAAATTGGCCTGAAGTCGAAAAACTATTTTAACGATGACAAGATACATAGACATTAACGATGATGGGCTACCGACATAGCTGTTCTTTCCCCCTAATGTGATGTTTGACCCTCCCTTAAATCTTGACCTCAAAGGACGGATTCTCCTTAATCTGAGAAAACCACTCCCAAGCCTTCTCGGCGATATTCGGCGGATTCCAGGTCTCATGGTCAGGGAAGACTTGACCTCCAACATTGATCAGTCCGATATGAACCCCCTCAGACTCATAAGACATGCGGAGAGTCTGTGCCAAGTTGCGCTGGGCGGCCTTCACCAGAGAAAGCGCAAAGAAGGCAGGGTGCGGGCTGTACGGGAGAACAGAGCTAGTGATGATCAATGCTGGCGTCGACTCTGGGCTGGACTTGGCGAGTTCAATGAGATGAGGGATGTATCGCTGCGCCACGGCGTACAATGCAGAGACGTTGATCTGGAGGGGACATTAGTCTGCCGCTCGTCTCACGTAGTTTCAAACTGGCTGAAATGGCGAGAATTGTGGAATTACCTTGAAATCATACTCCATTTCCTTCACGTCATGAACCAACATTTCTGACATCTGCACCCTGGCAGCGTTGAAGAAGACGCACGATGGCTTGCCCAGATCCGCATCCGCTTGGTCGAGCACTTTGGTGAAGGCCTCTGGGTTAGTAATGTCCGCGGTGTAGATCTTGACGGTCGCGCTTGGGGCAGCTTCCTCTACAGCCTTTTTCTCAATCTGCAGCTGCTCCTCGCGTCTCGCGATGAGGGCAACATTGCTGTAGCGCTTTGAGGCGAACAAAGTGGCCACAGAACGTCCAATCAATGGGCCAGCTCCGATGACGAGAAGTGTTTGGTTCGTCGCCATCTTTTCAGGGATGATACGATGACCGGGTAGTGGGTTTTGGGGGTTTTCGGGTTTTTCTTCTTGGGATTACGGTAAGGTGAGCGAAACAGGGAGGTCCGGCAAAGAAGAAGACACGAGTCACGGCATTTATGACGGCTCAAATTTCATGATGAAGTAATCCCGCCAGCCTAATCCAGGCCCCGAAATCAGCGTGGTAGGAAGTGGGCGATCAGCACTAGTGCTATGCGGGTTTGACGGCTTGAGGCCCGGTTCGGCATGTCCAATCATGAGACGCGTTAGTTTCGATTAGGAGACTGACGTAAGAAATGCATTTGCGGAGAAAGCAATACATTCCTGCCTGCAAGCTGACACCACGGTGCAAGAAAGGTCCTTGGGTACGACATTCCTTTCCGGTAATCAAGCAGCAGCACCACACAATCTTATAGGTCTGGTTCGGAGAGGAGACACTCAAGAAACGAGAGCTTCAACTTACCGCAGAACGTGAACTAGATGAATACTCATGACCGCCACAAGACAACTGAGACACTCGACTTTCAAACATCGATCAGCAAATCTCATGTTGAAATTCTCTCTGAAAATATTAAGAGGGCTTGCTATTCAGAGGCCAACCCTATTCCATTCCCGGTTCTTTCCACCATTTCGATTTGTATAAAACCAGCCTGGCTGAAATTTCCCTCGCAAATCGATCCCTCCATCCTGCTGGCATATCGCCATGAAACCTGACCACTTGAAGATTCTTTAAATCTGAAATAATTCTAAAGAATTCGTCGTGTTTTCTCTCCGTTAGCTTCACCTCCCACACCTTGGTGTTGCCGCTGCTCGGCCTCGGCTCCCAATCTACAACCAACTCGCTCAAATTCGTTGCTCGCCGGGCAACTTCACCGAGCATTCCTAGCCAACGGTTCCAATTGGGGTACTCCATGGCGACGAGCACATACAGCCGGCGCAGGCGTTCGAAGCGGAGCTTCCCATGCACGGCGAAGCCGATGCGCCGGTCGCCCCAGCCCGCTGTGTGCACCCGCATGACGGCATCCGAATGGACTCGCTGATGGAGCTCTCGGTAAGCGCGCTTGGATGTGAGCATCAGGGGAGGGATTGGTTTTGAGTAACCTCCCTGCTCGATGTAAAGATGTAGAGGCCGGAGGGTGTCCCCGAAGTCGTCATGGTCGAATGTGAGGTAGTATTCGTAGATACGTTCCCTGATCTCCCATGGCAGTTCGAATAGCTTTGAGCTTTCTTGGTTGGTTGGAGAAGTCATCTCGGCGCCACTGAAGGATGTCAGACTCGCTTCACACGTTGAGCAAAGGGGCTGGTAGTGGCTGAACTTACACTTGATTGGTTGACTGATAGTTGGGACGGTTAACATCAGCCGCTTGAGAAATTTGGATCTTCGTCGTCTCTTTTCTATCTGCTTCAATATGGCAGCCTGCTGCAAAGATGTTGCTGCCTGCTTGGTGCCGCATGTTCCGTCCGAAAGTGTCGGATGTTGCGGTTGACCCGCTTCCGGGTGCTCACGCGACGGGATTGGCCACTCGTCCTCGGCACCGATGCGGGGCAGGCCGAAGGTGCCGAACACGGCTCCGTACTAGGTAGGTATGGAGGAATGGGGTGTCAGTCGCGGTGCGTTGGGAGAGATACTTTGAACCACTTGAATTCATGCTTGAAATACCCAAGGGTTTTGTCTGAAATGTTTTCGAGATAACCTCATCATTTTCTACTCTGCTAAAACTCAATCATGTACGATGTCTGGACCAACTCCCGGACCAAATTCGTCCGCCCGGATGACGGACGAGCTCCGGTATCAACCCTGTCGTAAGCCCAGGTTTGACCCACCACAAAACTAGGTACAATGACCAGGCTTCAGTTTCTGTATGATGGTCTTTCCTCCAATGTACCTGGCAGATTCCACAACGTCGCAACGTCTTCAGCTTCCTTAGCACGCAAGATTCCCTCGGTCTTCAGTTTGTCTGCGGAGTATACTCCGAAACGGAAGAAGCTGAATCCATTCAAGGAATCCGCCAACCTGCGTCTGAATCCAAACAAGATCCCGAGTACACAAGACCCAACGGCCCAGATGCCAAAGGGAATCACCGCCACTAACGGCGGGAGCTCCCCCTTCGTCAAGACTTTGCCTTTCTTGGACGAAGTCAAGCTTGCGTAAGGCCAGCTGTTTTCGAAACCGTAGACGTTGTCGTACATGTGGTTAAGAACTTCTTGGTTCCATGCCAAGTAGACCGACTTCTGCAGTTCTTCTGAGGTTACAAAATTGGAAACTAAAACTGAGTTTGACTCAGACTTCGTGGCTCGAATGTTGATTGACGCGAAAATGTCCTCTAGACTGGCCGCCATTGCCACAGACTCCACAATGGTGCCTAGTCGGCTCACCGGTTCTTCCGCATTTACTTCTGGATCGTTATACGGAGTCGGATCTTCGTTTTTGAAATCGAAAAAGCTGGATGTTCTTGCATCGACCGTTGCTAAGCCGAACACCGATCTTACGGTGCAGCGGACTCCAATGGCAGCAGCAGCTTGGATGGTGCCGCGGGGGTGATCAAGTTTGTTCCAAGTATCCTCCGTTACATTTTTCTTTGTTGTGATAACCACTTCGTTTGTATACTTCCTTTGTTCGAAGAACGTGGTATTCATGACCCAGGACCCGTTCCTAGCCTTCATGAAAGGTGAGCCGATACCCTGGACGGTGGTGCCGACAGTACTGTTGTAATTCTCAATTTCGATAACTTTACCATCAACTGTAGCATCAATTGAAGCATTGGTTCGTGCCTGCCAGACGGCCCATTCAAGAACATTGACTTGGGTGTCAGTTGAGACGAGCGGCTCCTGTTTGTTGCCAATGGTATCCTGGGAACCCTGTGTTTCTTTCACGTCCAACCTGGTCCCCACCTCGGAGTATGACCATATGTTGGTGCGATCAAACATTTGAGCTGTGGCGCATGGTTTTGTCAAGTTCCCATTTATACTCCAAAACGAATGGCACCATTGACCCGTGTAGTGGCCCAGAACAGTAAACTCAGAAACATCCTCGACGATTGAGCAGTTGCATCCGACTCGAAGGCCCCAGGGCCTGCCAGAAATCGGCCCAAGCGCCTGCGGTACGATGAACATCTCAGGAATCCTTTGGTCTGTTGGGAGACGATTTGGAGTCTCAGCTAAATTGTCGTGGCCTTCACGGTTGAAATAGTCTGGAGTGAATATGATTCCAATACCAGGCAGTGTGACAGGGGATCCCATTTGCCACAGAGCCTGCGGCGCGTTGATGGTTTCGCCCTGTATTTCATATCTCTTGTGAAAATTTGTCGAGCTTCGGCCAACTACCATCGGAGCCTCTTTCAACCGAATATATCCATCGGATAGCTCCATAGTCAGACCCGAGAGGGGCATTCCGACGTACAAAGACAGGCTGATGAAGGCGAGGATGTACCAGAGTTTGTAGGTCTTCAGAGAATCTCCCAGGCTGGTCTTGGCTCCGCTTTGATTCTTCTTGAAGGCTTTTGTGATGCATTTGAACCAGCCGCCAGGTCCGCTCCAGGTCCCCTCGCTGTGGCTTAAGAGTGCGACCAGATGACGCGCCCCAAACGTCTTCGTCTCTAGCATGGCAACTTCAACTCCGACGAGGCCATGCTTCGACCATTCCAGGGCAAAAACACCGATAATGAACCAGGAATAATACACCCAAATCTCGGTTGTTGACCCAAATTTGATTGCTTCATCTTGCGGTCGGGACAGAAGGTATTGCCATATCCAGTAGTAGTAGCCCGTGACGCTGAGGGGCACAAGCAGGCCAATGACTGTTCGCGTCCAATATCGACTTCTTGGGGCGGAGGGGGGTGCGACCGATGATAATTCGCCAGTACTAATGTCCGACTTTGGTGTGATAGGAGAAATCAAGTGATAGGCGTCGTTTCCTTTGCCGAGCCAGTCCTTGTGAACCATTTTAGGAGAGAAAAAGGAGTTTTAGGGAACCGATCCTGAAAGTCTGATGTGCAGGAACAGTTGCAGCGTTTCCCTCGTGGCTACAATTATGATGTTGCCTACTTATACTGACGCCTATTCCACAGCCAGGGATAATCTAGGCTTGTCACGCAGCCCTGATAACCTTTGCCAGCTGGCAATATGAAGCTCCAACTCGTATTTCCTGCTTATGGCTTGGGTGGCACTTTACTCAGGCCCAGTTGAGCAATCAGGACAATCCATGTCATGCAGCCAAGACCAACTATCCGCCAGCCTGCCGATACACACCAACTTGTATGTTAGCCCCGGGCGAAAGATGGGTGTTCGAAGCCTGATGTCTCCTCAAGAATTTCGGAAAAGACCCGATCTGAGGCTCGCAAAGAAACTCGAGTTTTACATTGCAAGCAACATAGCTGGGCGGTGTGCCTCTCATGTAGACTCACAACCACAAGATCGCTACCTTATAGTTACTCTTCTGAGTCGACTTTCCAGTTTCCAACGTAACGCTACGACTCCAGCCAGATTTTTCGTTGAACAAGAATAGAGTAGATCTACTGATGAAGCCGGGTCGGTCAGGCTTCATCAACGATCGGGAGAGCTGCGAGCGGGTTGCCGGAATAAGAATCAAGCTGCGGCTTGCGCCACTTCTAGCAAATCCTTCATTGGAGTCGGGACGGCAGTGAGCCTATCTTATTATTGACTCAACCCACATGTTATCTATGTATATTAAGCAAGGTAAATGGCGACTGGGGCCTCATTTTCCCGGGTTACACGCACAAAGCCTCGTCTCCGGTTCATTCCATTCAATCAGCTCGTCTCTGCCAGAATGCGTTTGGGTACAGCTTTATGATTCTCTGTTTGGTGTTCAATCTTGTCGCGTTCATTTTCTTAATTAGGTATGGAATATTATCAAGTCTTGTTAATAAGCCTTTTCACTTCACCAAGCTTATATACAAGAAGAATGCTGCCTTCCCCGCTCAAGAGAGAAAAACATACTGGCCGTGATATCGGTAGCACATGTGCCAAACCAGCTTTCGTAGGGATGAGAGGAATTTTCGGCTTTTTTATGCTCGTTACAAGTGCTCGGCACACTTATCCGTCTATCCAGAAAATGAACACAGACAGCCCATCCCAGAATATACGGATGAAGCCGGGGGAGCGAGGCTAGTCTCGAATTGTGCAAAGTCCAAGTAGCGGGCAAAATTACAGAGATCCAGGGCAAATATGTACAAGATATGATTTCCCACCACACGCTCGCTGCAATCACGAATTCACATGCTGACATCACGCTTTCTCCGTCTGCGCCTGGATGGCGACAAGCTCAGGGGACCCAAGCTTCATCTCCCGCACACTCGTCAACAACTCCTCCATGGAATTGACGTCTGTCAGCCACCAATCGCTACCAGTTGGCGGTTCCAGCATTAAGGCGTCAAACTCCCTCGCGGCTTCGGAGGGACATGGGTGTCCCCGAGCTACCCTCTCCGCCAGCCGCGACATCGCTGCCGGCGCCCAGATCGCCAGCAACGGCTCGCAACTTCCATCCATCGACTGGTAGCAGGTGACTGGCACAGAATCGCGCTTGTACATGAGATGATAGATGGCGTCGGGCGGGAGGAGAGGGTATTCGCAGGTGACCACGACCCAGTTAGCCCACGGGTCGTAGTGGTACGCCGAAAGGAGGCCGGCGGCCGGTCCGGCCGCATATCGAGGCTTTTCCGCTGGCGGTTCGTCGCGCAAGATCTTCACTCTCGGCTCCTTGGGCGAGTCCCCATTCTCAGAGGTCTCGTCGGATTCGGCCGAGAGTAAGCCATCCAGATACTCGTCCGTCTCAGACTCGGGCGCCAAAAAAATGTAAATCGTCTGCGGCTCCGGGAAGATGGCGCGGAGGAGTTGTAGCTGGCGCTGATACAGGGGTGTCCCGTCGGGCATGCGGAGGAGGTGTGTTGGTGTGCCCATCCGAGTCGATTTGCCCCCTGCTAGCAGCAGTGGTCGCATGGCTGGCAGTCCCATCTCCGCGCTGTTCGTATCTCACCACCGCGAACCGCGGCAACCCGAAATCGAAAAACACCAGATTGACGAGGGCAGCTTGGAGATCGCTTCCTCGGAAAATGTCCACTCGTCTTTTCTTTGGAAACCCAACGGGCACGTCGGCATAGTAATGCTGACTTTTTGAATGGTGCTAGCCCCAGCCCCCCTTGTATCTATGACTTCTTGATTCTCGGACGTCATGATTACGCCATGACGGCCATGACAATGCGACTAAGCCTGACAAAGCCACTCACAGAACATGCACCAAATGAAGAAACCGTTTGTTTGAAGAAGAAAGGGTCCGAGTGACAAAACATAGCGGCATGGCAGTTTAAACTTACAACGCGGCCCAGGGCCGATCCGGGCCGGCGACAGATCTTGGATCTCCTCGGAGATGCGATCCGGAGCGACGAGATCAGCACGCCCCGCTTCCCCGGCCTGTTGTCTCTTCTCTCTTCAGCCCAAGGGTCCGAATCGTTGCCAAGAAAACAATTACCGCATTTGTAAAGCTCTTGCTGGTGACAAGAACTCAACAGTCACCTTCACCATACAACAGATAATTACTATCGTTCAAGTTACATGTCACTCTACACCGAAATGCAATCATGCCAATGGCTTCAAAGCCCCAAGGTCTCCCTCCACCCAGCCCAAATGACGAAAGATCATGCATTCGTACAAGCATCCGAAATTTCACCTCACAATGGTTCCTCATACCGCAGGGAACCGCTATCTTTGCCGCAGTCTTGCAGCAGCTTGACTACCGCTTCAAAGGCCTCACAACCATCTCCTACGTCTTGTTAGTGATGGCCATGGTTCTTCTTCTGTGTATGGTCAGCATCTACCTGCTCCGCATCGTCTTGTACCCACGGAAAGTCGTACAAGCGCTCAAACATGACGAGTCCGAGCTCGCGGGGCTCTCGAGCGTCTCCATCGCCTTCACGTCCATCATCCAGATGGTCTCTCTTGCTCTCGTCCCAGCCTGGGGCGAGCGGTGGAGCAAGACCATCTACGTTCTGTGGTGGATCGCCTTTAGTTTTGCCGTAGCCATCAGCATCGTCCTCCCGTTCATCACAGTCAAGGTCTATCCCTCAGGTGTCTCACGCCTCTCTCCGGCGACGCAGCTCCCGCTCACCGCAGCGCTGACGGCAGCCGCCGCTGGCGGAGCGATGTGCAACTCGGCCGCACTCGCCAGCGACCAGCAAGTGCCCGTCATCATAGTGTCGTATTTACTCATTGGCATGGCTCTGCCCATGACATTTGCCCTGGACGTGCTCTTCTGGGCGAGGTTACTGGGGAACTACCAGCCGCCGAAGAAGAAAGCGTTCCAGGACATGATCCTCTGCGGGCCGTGGGGCCAGTCCAGCTTCGCACTGCAGATGCTGGGTAGATCGGTTTTGACGGGAAGCTTTTCTTCGTACGCGAGCGGCGTATTCCTGACTGCGGACGCAGCGGCGCCCGTCGGGTACAGCAGCATTTTCGCCGGACTTGCGGCCTGGGGTTTGGGTACGTTTTGGTGGTTATTCGCGATCCTGGGTGTTCTGCACGCGTTGTTTGAGGGCTTACGGCCGAGACCGATGCCGTACACGTTGGCCGCTTGGGCATTGGTGTTTCCCTGGGTAAGAAGCCAGTGTGTGCAAAGATGGCGGGCTTATACTAACAGATGCTCACATGACAGGGAGTTTACACAAACGCGGCGATACAACTTGGCAAGCTACTGGATTCGAAGGCGTTCAAAGTGTGGTCTACATGCTTGGCACTCATGCTAGTTGTGATTTGGTTCTTTAATGTTCTGATGATAGTGCGAATGCTTGTATTTAAACGTCGATCTTGCGTGAGAATATGACCTGTTAATCGACCTCGACCCCTAATCAATCTAGTGGCTACCTTAATCAAGCAGTACTTGAAGCGTTCAAACCAGATTATGTATTCATTTCAAAATATCCTCCTCACTTGATAGAGCACTAGCTAAATGTTGTTACCGAGTTCATTCTGCGGTGAATTCTCTTAGTGAGTAGGCTATCAAGCTTACTCGATAGAGGTTATCCTTGATATTCCGAACTGTTTGACTTTCTTATTAGTCTAAACTCATATAATACTACCATTACATCTGAGTGAGAAAGCTTAACTACGTCTCAACCCTGACCTGTTTTTCGAGATAACAAAGGGTATGAGCGAGTGCCAAGAATAAAAGGTCTGTAGTTAGGCCTTGAATAGAGCCATCTACTCATCAGACAGATCAGTACTTTGGGTCCTTGAGTAGGGCCATCTCTTTATCAGACAGACCAGCCCACTGAATGCAGGCCGTACCACAGGAGGTAGGGCGGACGGTGACGACGTTGCAAGAACCTCCGATAATGGTAAAAAGGTCCAAACAAGCGGGAGGGACGTTTTCATACCGGACAACTAGACACAAGTTAGTCGTTTCCTCTGCCATGATTTTGAACCTTGCTGTTGGGATGCAATACTCACCACCGCTAGCGGGGAAGGAGGCGACAATCCTGACGCCCTTTCTCTGCTGACTCTCATTCTGGAGGTCGCACGGATCAAAGACGTACGAAGGGACGTTACAAGTACCGAACTTCTCGACGTCAAGCTTAGGGACCTCCTTGAGACCGAGAAGATCGCTGAACACGGGGCCATTGATGACACGACCACTGAGAACAGCGGGCATGGTTGGCTCGGGGAAATCAACAAGCGTTCAGTAATTGCAAATTGGCATTTTTGTGGCTAGAGACCAAGGTCTAAAATATTCTAGGAAGACGGTGTTCAGCGCTACTACCCGATCAAACAAATCGAGGGCATTCTTGATATTTGATAGATTTGATTAGGATTTATAAGAGAAATATTTATATTATTTTAATAATTATTAAATATTTAGAGAGCTTTAAGCTCTTAGAATCTAAATATAATATAATTTACTCTGAAGGTTATATATTATAGGTGTTATACTACTTAGAACCTTTCAAGTAGAATATTTGAATTTGATTGATTTGATCGGTTAGTAGCGCTGACGGTGTTGGGAGTGATGAGGTGAGATGAAGCTCGACGAAGGGTTGTGGTGTTGCGGATAAGGTAGCTGCCTCTACAAAGCGAGCGGCTTCTTAATTTGTATTATGGGGTTTTCATAGAGGTTCCTCTGTGAAGCCAATGATACTGTGGCCCGCGCAAGTGTCTTCGACAAAGTTGTATGGCAATCAATAATTTATGCCCGCAGGCAATAAACTGCCGTACAAAAGCGTAAATAAAAAGTCAGAAGGTCAGGGTGGGGGGAACCAAATCTCAGAGAAACTCTGCGCATGATAGGTAAGACCTTGATGTGGGAGGTTTGACTTCTTGTACAGTACAGGAGAAGTCTCACTTGTAGATAGCTATTGGGTCATTATATCCACGATCACCTGTATGCCAAGAACCTGAAGGTAAACGGTCGGGCTGAAAAGAAAAGCAGCAAAATCAACCTTGACGCGAATGAGACAAGCTCTAATAACCGTCACACAGACCTGCAAGTTCTCTGTCTGAATACTGCATCTGGCTGTGGCATCCGGCTGACGCGCATATGGCTTTGCGTTTATAGGCCTCTTCGATCACAGCCCGCTGCTGAGGAGTTTGACATTGATCAATAAGTTTCTCATCCAGGCAAGGCCAGATGATCGATCGATAATGCGACTTGAGCATAATTCACCGTGGCCGTCACAATGCATTCTCTTGGTCATCAACACCCCCTTCCGTGGTGTCTCTTGTCCACTGCTCTATTTTACGTGGCTACACAATGGCAGATTGGCCGACTTCGTCTGCATGAGGCCGTTGGCTTTACAATGACGCGCGGTCGCAGATCGCGGCATTACTATATGCATGGTGTCTGCTTTCACTCCAATACTTGGTAACAAGTGGCACTAGCCAGCCTAAAGTTATACATAATTTGATATCTACATGCAATATTCAATCAATTTTCCGCCGTGAGAGACTACCACGGAAATCCCATCATGTTGATGCTATCCAGGTCTTCAATCTTCTTTCAACTACTTTGCAAGTTGTAACACACTTTCCAGTCAAGTATCCACTCAATCCACACGTCAAGGGATTGGCCGCCAACACAAGGAGCTGAAAAGACTCGCTGGCGCGGTTTTCGCAACAGGTTCCTGACGAATGCTCAGTACCCATTGACAGACAGTCTTCTGTATCAGGCCGTTGCTCGATTCTTATCGGGGAAGACCAGTGCAGGCCATACCTGCCAATCAAGACACAAGCAAACGATTATCTGTCATCCATCGTCTCTTTGTCCGCTCTATCACTTAATAGTATTGCGTATGCATTGGCCGTCATCCGAAAGACTGATCCAAGTGCACCAGCCCCCAATGATGGAAGAGGGACATCCAAAAACCCCAACCTATAGCCAGGATTCCCAAGACACTCTGCTTCAGGATGTCCAGGCTCCGCCATCATACCAAGAAGTACTCTTTATCCTTTCCCCGAATAATGAATGGATATCACTACATGACGGGAATCAAGACGTTCTACTTGTGCGGTGACTTCCGCGATGACCGCTTATTCATCGTTGACATACACACAGGCTTCAGCAGAAAACCCTCTTGGTTCACGACCCGGGATATTGCTGCGCAATGGTACCGATTCCAAGGATCCCATAATCGCAGCTGCCGGCGACGAGTCGCAATTCGCCGCCCGAGCCTGCGCCTTAAACTCCACTACAGATATCTTCCTGCCGCCATCGGAGCCCCGCGCAAGCGTCCTCGACATGGACACCGAGACTATGCGCCCCTCAGTATCGAGTGAACAGGTGGCGTTTCTGTTTTCCATTGAGGCTGGTGAGAAGCAGCAACGCAAACGTTTCGAGTGGACAAATTGAAGAAGGGGGAAGACCATGAGGCAAAGTCGGGTGGCTTCAGACTCGGGCAGGTCTCTTCAAGGTACAGTAGGCCGCAGACGAGCTCCGAAGTTGCCTCTGAATCTGCCCCCGAGGGACCTTCCTCTTCTCGGGCAGCAGGTGAGAACCGCGAGTCTCTTGCGCTGCTATCGTGGTCCTCGGGCTTGTCCAAGATGACTCACCCGTTTTTGCAGCGAATACAGTCCAGTGCCTCGTCCATAGGGAATTTTTAGGCGCTCATGGTCGTCATAATTGCATTGAGGCTTTGGGAGATGAACGTGCAAGGAAGGACGAGTAAGGTTGGAGTATTGGTTGAAGGAAAGATTAGAGGAGGTTGAAAGATCAGACTCATCAGCTGGGCTGGCATCTCTTAGTGTCCAAAACCATCGGGCAGCGCTTGTGATTGCTGGCCACTGCGTGAGCTCTTATGGTATCAAGTCGGTGTTTATTTTACCACAGACTTTATTTCGGACCAAAAGCTTCTGGCTCAAATGATAGTCGTTTATGGTTGACTTGCCAACATCATCTATTGCCTAAGCAAGGGGAATGACAAGGAACAAGAGAGCCATAAACATGCTCAGCAGCCACAAGTGTCGCCCAGTGCAAGTAAGATGCTATCACGGGAAACGTTGTTGCAATACAGTCTTCATTGCCCCGCGAACCCCGTACTACCCCTGAAGTGACCTCGCTGAGATTGAACTAGTTCAAGTACCTTCAGAATGAGGATACAACTCGCAGGTTTGTCATACTCGGCAGTTGGTGGAACCAGCGCGACCTCCCACTCCGCATGTACGTCGTAGCTAGTTAGTTTCACATCAATCACGACGCTTTAGTTCTCAGGAGTCAGCTACTTCTCTGAAAATACAGAAGTGTTCCTGCGTTTTCAACAAGATAGACAAAATGGCACCAACATGGTACCGTCCAAAGGACGAGGTTTAACGCGAAGCAGCATTTCCAAGCCCCCTGGAACAATTGGGCTGGAGTGACTGGGCTGATTGTTTCGGGATAAAAGATTAGAGGGTTACATAGATGTGCGTAGGGGCTGCAGAGACCTTCAGAACACATATGAAAGTGCCCTCCGGAATGGTTGATGACTGGAGCGCCACATAGAAGGAAGCAGTGCCCATGCCTACTGCCTGCGCGGTCTTCAGCCGGCGGGTAATCTTCCCGCAGCTGAGACGTGTTGGCAATGATAAGCCAACTGCCCATACGAGAGCACATATGTGCCCAGAAGGTAGGTATGTTGAGCTCTAAGCTCCAAGGCAGAGTTTAGATACCATCCCTCAGGACATGCAAAGGTCACCAGCAAAGCAGTAGGAATGATTCTTCTGAATTCTCTGTCCGGTCTGTCTGTCGGGTTGCCAACCACTCCTTCCTTTGTCTCCGAAAGCACACAACTCTTTGTGGGAATAAACATCTGCTGGAATCGAGCCACCACCCCTTTGCTGTATCCTCATTACCCGAGGAAAAGTTACATACTCTCTGAACACCAATGGATAAAAAGTAGACGAAAAAAAGGAAAAAAAAGGGAGAAGAAACACCCCGACAAACCCACTCCGGTTTCTTTTTTCCACCCAGACCTCTCTTCTAGGCCTGGCCAAGAAGTAAAAAATGAAGTAAAACCACAATGAAGAGGCCTAAGAATGCAACATCTGACCCTATGCAATACCCACAAGACATGCGTGCTACCCAACTCACCCGCTCGCCGGTGCCCCCTTTCGAAATGATTTCTAGGTTACACAAGTGCCGCAGCACTCAAAATGGTGTGCTTTCTCGTCTAGCTTGCTGGAATTTTGATTTCAAGAAGATGATGACTCCGAGTCCTTTGCGGCCAAGAGCTCAATCATCTTCTCGTACTCTATATCCTTGTCCAGAGGGTCGCGGCCAATCGCCTGGCAAGCCTCTCTGAAGATTTCATCTGACTTTGTCGTGCCGGCTGGCTGCTTCTCTCTCTTCCTCCACTCTTCGAACCATTTTTTGTTGAATTTTTGAACAAACTTGGACGTGATGGGGCCCCACATCACTGACTGTTGCTTGGGGGCTGGGGCATCGGGAGCCGTGGACTCGGGTCTTGATGGTGGCGCGGCGATTTCCTTGCCGTTGTCGTCCTTCTCGGGCTCGCGCTCGCCTCGGGGCAGGCGCATGGCCAAGAGCACGTATTCTGCCCGCGTCATGTTGTCCATCACATCATCCATGTACCGTCTGACCTCGTCAGGGGGTGCGACGACCCTCTGAAGATAGTCGAGGTTTCGTCCAGAGGGGGAAAATATTCTGATGGTAACGGGCTGGTAGTAGTCGAGCTTGGCGTCTCCTCCGTACTCCAGTTGACTGCCCTTGCGGACAATCAGGAACGAGGCAACCACCTGCTGGCCGCCTGGCAGATACTCCAGGATGCTGTACTTTGGGAATAGGTAACGATCGCCGTTCCCGCCGGTGAAGTCCAGACAGACGCCTGAGATCTCAGGTCGCACTGGCTGCGGTGGACCCTTGGAACGCAAGGCTTGCTGCGGAGGATGCTGTAATTGAGGTGCGGGCGATGCTGCCGGCGCTGGCTTCGGCGAAGGCACAGGGGCTGTGGCCGGTTTTGGGGGATGCCCGTTCGGGACGCCGTTCACTGGAGTCTGCGGGGTTGATGGCTGAGGCTGAGGAGTTTGACCGCCCTTGAGTTCCTTGTGCAATTTGTCAAGCACTGCCTTCAGGTCTGTCGCATCGGTGAAACCCGGCTGGTTCTCGGCTATCCGTCGGATCATCGTGCGTACTTTGTTGTCATCCAAAGCCGATCTAACCAAGGCAACTACCAAAGGATCACTGCCTCGAGGGGGAAGCAACTCGCCCGACTTCTGGCGCGGGTTTGTTGAGAGCACGATATCCAGAATGGTGCGCACCTCGTCAGCAAAGTACTTGACTGTCCTCCCGTCGACAAGCAATCTGTCTGCTGAAGGTCCCTGCTGGCCTCCCTTTCTCTTGTATTCGACCGTAATTTGGTCAATAATCTTCTGGAAATTAGTAAGCTCATCGGGCTTTGCCTCTCCTGCTGCTACTCGCTTCATGAGATCGCGGAGCATAGGATCCTCTGACGCCTTTTCGGCCAACGTCATGATGATAGGATCAGTGCCTTGAGGTTTGGGAGCCGCAGGTTTTGCAGCTCCTGCCCCCGGCGTCGGAGTTGCGCTTGCTGGTCGTGAGTTTGGCATAGAATGTGCCGGGCCAGGCTGACCGGGAGGGTGTGACGGAGTGCCCGGCGCAGGCACTGGTCCTTGCCCAGGCGCTGCAACTGGTGCTCCGGGAGCCATTGGCCTGGGAGGAGGTGGTGTCGCGACGGCAGGTCGTGCAGCGTCCAAAGTCCGTGGTGATGGAATTGGCTTCGGGGGTTCAGCTGCCGGCGCAGACGGTGCCCTTGATGGCGCTTGCTGGGGTGCAGGCGAGTGAGAGGCTGGTGTCGGGGCTGGAGGGGTCGGCTTTGCCTCGGCTGGCGCAATAGGAGGGTTTGCATTCGTTGTCGCTGGAGTGGGAGGAGGCGGCATGACACCATTTGGGGGCCCATACTGCAGAATTGGTCGGAAAGTTGCCTGGGTGGTGGGCGCAGGCGGCTTCGGGTCCTTGATAGCCCACATGGTGGCCTCAAAGACGTGCGGCTCAATTGTAATTTGCACCTGGCCGATCTTGCTCATGGTGTCTTTGGCCGGGTTCTTGGGGTCCTCGGTCGCGCCCTTCCTCCTCAACGGCTTGGTCCAGTACTTCTCGAACATGCCCTCGGCCATCCATCTATGCCGCGACCGTGCAAGGGACTCGGCCATAACACCGCTGTGGCATCTGTTAGTAGGAGGACTGGTCTGCGGAGACCGACGACATACCTCTCCTGGAAGGACTGGTATTCCTTGTTGGGAAGATCATCAGGCTGGGGATCCTCGACGGTGGGCAAAGGCTTTCCGGGCTGGATCGATTTGGGCAGTGTCGGCGGCGGGGGCTCCTCGACGGGAGCCGCGACTGGGGTGACGGATCGATGCTCGGGAGGGGTGACGGTGCGCTTCTTCGCAATGTGCTCGACGCGCGCAGCAGCCCTCGCGGGCAGTTTCCTCTTCCTCTCCATGACTGTGTACGTCTTCGCCTTTTCCGTCTCCCTGTCGCGAAAGTTCAGGGTATCACGGGTCGATTTCCGAGCGTGTCGGAATGGTCATCATAAGCTAGGGAATACACAGCCCTCGACTGCGCGCGTGCTCGTCGGGTTCGGTCTCGAGATGAGAGGGAGAGGGACAATCGACGGCGGCGTGCGTGAGAGAGCGGGCGAGCGAGTCGGTGGGTTACGGCTTTCGATTTCGGGGGTCGTCGTGGGAGCAGGCTGGGGATGGGGTGGAGGAAGAGATTTGGAGACTCGGGGACGGACAGGTTCGTGGGAATTGAATTGGGGTGGATGGGATATAGTATTATGGGAGCTGTCTCTGTATGGATCGGAGAAAGGTACAGGGCAGATACATGGGCGCGGTACTGAGCCCGCGCAGGACGGTTGTACCTATGAGGCGTGGTGCGGCAGCCGAATGGTTCGGAGAGGTGAAAAGATACATGCGGCATGTACCTGAGGCTCCCAAGTCTCCGTCGTTGTTGCCGTTGCTTTGCCTGACTGGCTGGGGACCTGAGGTGGACGGGAACACGCCTTACCAAACCTAAGGCGCTGCGGGTACGGGCACGCTGCTGCTGCTGCTGCTGCGCTGGACGTCCACTGCCCGGAGCCTCTCTCTTTCTCTCTCTGTGTCGCTGACACGGGGTGCAGTCAGTCTGGACTTCCTTCCATTGCAGTGCTCCCCGGCGCCGTCCAGTCGTAGCCGACGAAAGAAAGGCGGGCTGCAAGTTCAACAAGGATCTGGTCGTCTGATTGGCCGGCAAGAGGGGGGGAAACTGGGCACTTGCCGCGCCCTGACTGGACGAAGGGCTTGGCTCAGCTCCGCCTGCCACTTAAATCGCGCCAAAATCCGTCTCTTAGACGGGATGTACCTTTGTACCGCGGCACCCTTGCAGCAGATGTACCCACATCTGCTCCACATTACGTGATTACCTAAGGCAAGAATGCGTGCCGTTTTCCATGACCTTCCCATCCCAGTCGGTCCCTCTCTTGTTGGTCTCGCCTCGCCCTCGCCCTCACCCTGCAGGCTTTCTCCCATCAATTGCCAATCTGGCTCGCTCCGGGTGTCATTGCTGCCGACCTGCTCTGGCGCCAGCGCTGGTCCAGTGAGGAGCGGGAAAGCAAACGCGGGTGGGTAGAGCAGTGTGGCTGTGAAAGCTTGGGGGCAGTGACAACCTGTGATCTGGGCAGATTCCTCTCGCATTTCGCAACACGCCCTCTGCAGCAGTAAATTACCTACCACCGCTGCAACCAATCCCAGGACAGCACCAAATGAAGTCTTGACGTCCAGCAATGCCGAAAATATTGAACCAGACACTGCACTTTCTCCGGGAAAACGGTTGGCCAAGCCGTTAGTCGATTGACTGGCCATGTTCGGTACAAAGAATTCAGTTTTATACCGAGGCCCGTCTGTTGTCGTCAGAGTGCGGCTGATACCGCAAATGTGGAAGGCCGCCGCATCTTGGGGACATTCTGCCTCTAGTGCGCGGTACCTCCAGAAAGCTGCGCGATGCAACCACAGAGAAGGTACCGAATGATAAGGCAGCCGGTGACACCATCCCTGCGGGCCGCAGACAATTCCAACCTCAACCAAGCAACCAGCTCCATTAGGCATCCTCGAGGGTGGCCACGACATCGCCTCCCGTCACCTGTATATAGCCCGGAACCATCACGACGCCCTCCCCCAAAGCGATTCTCTCTCTTCGCCTGAAGAAACTGTCCCACTGCCCACGCCATGACAGTTCCGCTGTCTCCGATCCTGCGATCCGCCGTCTGGGTGGTCGCAGCTCCTCTGGGTCTTTACTTCACATTTTTGGCCCTCGGCGCAACACCATTTTTTCAACGACAGTGAGGTTTTACCAGTTGATTCGCTCCTGAGTACTTTATCTGACTCTCTCCTGCAGTTTTCTGTACGCGCACAAGATAAACACACTATGGTGGCGCGGCGTCAATGAACCTGAGCGGTTTGGCTTTGCTAGTCAGTCCACGTACCATCACCGCCACTGGCGACGCGCAATTAACTGACCCATGTCTTGCATAGAGGGCCAAGTCACACCCTTCTCCCTCAACACCCCAGATGGAGTGAACTTGTATGCTTGGCATGTCATGCCCTTGCCAGCCTATCTGAAGCAGGAAGAGAGATTCTCAGCACAGAGGCCCGGCTTTTGCGAGGACTTCACCCAGACCGAGTCTTTCAAGGCGCTTAAGGAGGACCCTGAAGCCCGCGTTGTTCTATCATGTAAGCCACGCCGTCCTGTCTAAAGCTCACTCATACTAATATGCTGCAGTTCATGGTGTAAGGGGCGTCCTTTTGAACCGCATTTTGACATTGCTGACAAGAACAGAACGCCGGAGATATCGCGCAAAACCACCGTCCTGACAGTTACCATGTCATCACTGACACCTCTTCCTACCACGTGTTGGCAATCGATTATCGCGGCTTCGGTCACTCCACAGGCACTCCCTCTGAAGACGGCCTTATCCAAGATGCGGCTACTCTGATTGACTGGGTCATTAATGTTGCCGGCGTCTCCTCAGACCGTATCGTCCTTCTCGGCCAGAGCCTGGGCACTGCCGTGACCAGCGGCGTCGCGGAGCTATACGCCTCCCAGGGCATCGAATTCGGTGGAGTCATTCTCGTCGCAGGCTTCAGTAACTTACCCAAGATGCTCAGTGGCTACAAGATCGGCGGACTCTTCCCCGTTCTGGGCCCTCTGAAGGTCTGGCCTGGATTCTTGGGGTACATGGAGACCTTCATCTACGACAAGTGGCCGTCGGCTGACAGGCTTGAGAGCCTGGTGAAGCTGACCAAGCGAAGGCTACGCCTAACTCTGATATCTGCCAAGGACGACTCGGATATTCCCTGCGAGGAGAGCAGCAAGCTGTTTCGGGCTGCGGCTAATGCCACTGTTGATGGCGGGCTGAGCGACCATGCCTTCGAGTCTTGGAAGGAGGTACGGACGATTCACAAGGGCAAGAACGCATTCGTCACGACATGGCATGCGGACCACAATATCATTATTCGACAAGAAATGTTCCCATACGGAGGTAAGCGACCAACAAAAATGATGCTTCGGCGGGCAGTAACTAACAAGACTAGGACACAACGACATCATGGGATATGCACCCGTAATCCTCGCAGTAATGCGGTCTTTCGATCTTGCAGGCACTGCGTATGATGCTGCTGGCTCTGACACCAGCAGCCGAACATTGTAAATATGCGCCTTCATTTTCAAGACTTCAGAGTAGGAGTCGTACTAGACTTTGGAGGTGCTTTTGATAGACTTTAGTAGCGTAGACATCTGGCGCGATGCTATAGATTTAGTAATGATGAACCGATTTAAGTCAGAGAAATCGCAGTGTCCTTATCCTTTCGGGCGACAGGGACTGGGAGTTTGGCGATGAACCTTATGAATCCAGCGCGAAGTCTCACAGGCAGACGTATGGACTTTCTTCTGAACCGCCTACCGAACTCACTTTAGACACGAAACCGATTTTCGCAAGACGCGTGCACTAGGAGAGCGGATAAGGACACAAAAATCCAAACCAGAATGCCGTCATTACATTAAGGTGAGATACGTGGCTGATCAAACGCACATCAGCAGGCAGCGACAGCGTCTGCGGACCCCTAACTGGAGACCACGCGATCGCTGAGGCGCCCTAGCGCCAGGTGGGATGGCTGCCCCGCAGTGCCCGCACACAGCACCCCAGCAGCTAACCCCGCCATGATGCAGTCACAGCTGGAAACTGCCCGGCCACATGAAACTGTCCTCTCGCCCGCCAAAACTTCTTCCCCCGCCATTCCCACCTTCCAAGCTTGTCCAGAGCTCCAAAAGCTCGAACCACGACACCACTGCCACCACCCCGCCTGCGATTGCCGCAAACAACACCCCACGAACCCGCGCGAGCGAATCGAACAAGCACAAACATGCCTGCCGAGGAGTCTAAGCCCCTCGACCCTGCCGTCAAGCAGGCCGAGGACGCCGTCGCCGAGGCGGAGAACAAGGGCAAGGGCAAGGAGCCCGAGGTCGAGTCGGAGGAGGAGGAGGACGATGCGCCCGAGGAGGCCGGCGCTCCTGCCTCCGGTGGCGCCAAGAAGAAGAAGAAGAAGTCCAAGAGAAAGAAGGTCAAGGAAGCTCTGACCGGCAAGCCCAGCGACCCCGAGCAGCAGATCCGCGATGCGATCGGCGGGCTCACGCCCCAGCAGCTCACCGAGCTGCTGGCGCTGAACCCCGCCCTCGCGAACGAGATTGGCGCCAGCGGCTCCGGCAACCAGTCGGCGGAGCAGACGGCCAATGCGCTCAAGCAGCTTAACCTGCAGGACATCATGACCGGCCTGGCCTCGGCTGGCAAGAACGCGAAGGACATGGCGAGCTACAAGTTCTGGGCCACGCAGCCCGTGCCCAAGTTCGGCGACGGCGACAAGAAGATCGAGGAGGGCCCGATTCGCGTCCAGAAGGTCGAGGACGTCCCCAAGGAGCCGGCGCCAATGGTCAGCGGCTTTGAGTGGGTTACAATGAACCTCGAGGACGAGGGCGAGATGAAGGAGGTGTACGAGCTGCTGAACGGACACTACGTCGAGGACGACGAGGCCATGTTCCGTTTCAACTACTCTCCTGCCATGCTGCAATGGTAAGGACGGGTATTATCTTTGATAGACAAGTGGAAGCTGACTTTTGCAGGGCCCTGATGGCTCCTGGCTGGCGCAAGGAGTGGCACGTTGGTGTGCGCGCTTCTCAGTCTCGCAAGCTGGTCGCCTTTATCTCAGCCATCCCCGTTAACCTGCGCGTGCGCAAGAACGTCATCACCTGCTCCGAGGTCAACTTCATGGTTGTCCACAAGAAGCTTCGCGGCAAGCGTCTGGCGCCCGTCCTGATTAAGGAGATTACCCGCCGCAGCAACCTGCGCGAGATCTGGCAGGGTCTGTACACTGGTGGTGTCGTTCTGCCCAAGCCCGTCAGCACCTGTCGCTACTTCCACCGCGCCATCAACTGGCAGAAGCTGTACGAGGTCGGCTTCAGCCCGCTGCCTGCCAACAGCAAGCCCCAGTTCCAGATCCGCAAGTATGCGCTGCCCGACAACACGTCGACCAAGGGCCTGCGCGAGCTGCAGGAGAAGGACATTGAGCAGGCGAGCGCCCTTCTGGACAAGTACCTCGCCCGCTTCGATATGGCGCCCCAGTTCTCCAAGGAGGAATTCAAGCACTGGTTCCTGCATGACAAGGAGAAGGGTGGCGAGCAGGTCATCTGGACCTACGTTGTTGAGGTTTGTATTGAATTGCCCTCTTTGTTGACGGCATGGCTGACCAAGAACAGAATAACGGCAAGATAACCGACTTCTTCTCCTTTTACTGCCTCGAGTCTACGATCATCAACAGCACCAAGCACCAGGTCATCCGCGCCGCCTACCTCTGGTACTATGCCTCCGAGATCGGCACTACCCAGCCTCTCGACAAGGAGGCACTCAAGCCGCGCCTGAACTCGCTCATCGGCGACGCTCTCATCCTGGCCAAGAAGCACAGGTTCGACGTCTTCAACGGCCTGTCCCTCCTCGACAACGGCCTCTTCCTGGAGCAGCAGAAGTTCGGACCCGGTGACGGCCAGCTGCACTACTACCTCTTCAACTACCTAGCGGCCCCCATTGCTGGAGGCGTCGACAGACGTAACAAGCTGGACGAGGAGAACCTGAGCGGCATTGGTTTGGTGATGTTGTAAATGGGGATTCGCAAAGGGGCGAGCACGGCACCGGGAGAAACGGTATGACTGCATGCATACGGCGTTGGATGGATGCGGAGGTATCATAGTACATGAATAAAAGCTCTCACGACCTGCACTATCGTGTATCCTGTCTCTATGTGTCTGCTCAACTCACCGCCCAGCGGGTCGACACATCCCCCTCATGGCAAGGGAAACTGCTTCTCGACCGCGTCGATCCTGTCCACGTACCACTTATTCATCCATGCCACCCTGTCCATGATGGGCGCGTGTCCCATGCCGTCAATAAACTCAACAACACTAGGCTCCAAGTGCTTCGCCAGCAACCGGCCGTGGTGCGCATCAATCATTACATCCGCATTGCCATGGATGACCGCGATCCTCTCCCTGCCGACCGCGTCCGCCAGCTGCCCCAGCTGCTCGGGCGACTTGTGATGCCACCCGGCGCTGACGAGCTGCAGGATGAAGCCGCGGATGCTGAAAAGCCCGGGCGTGCAGCGCTTCACGAGCTCCTGCGCCTGGAAGCGCTGGAAGTTGCTGTCGAACCGACCATACCCCTTGCCGCCGTCCGCGGGGCCGCACTTGGGCGTGCTCTGGTCGGGGAGCTCGGCCGCCTCGTCGGGCTGGACGAGCCAGTCGGCGGGGAAGAGCTTGAGGGCGGTGTCCTGGATGCTGCGGTCCATGGACTTGGGGACGAGCATGGCGGCGCGGTCGGCGAGGTTGGTGAGGAGGGGTTTCGTGTTTTCGATCCAGGGGGCGGTGCAGAGGAAGGTGACGGAGGCGAAGAGGTCCGGGGCGGCGAAGGCGAGCTCTTGGGAGATCATGCCGCCCATGGAGATGCCGAAGAGGTGGACGCTGCGCGGGGTGGAGGCCCAGCCGACGTGGGTGAGGACGTCGAGGGCGTCGAGGGCCATGGCGGAGGTGGTGTAGCGGGCGTAGGGGACGTCGGAGCCGCCCATGCCGCGGTTGTCGAGGATGAGGACGGAGTAGCGGGCGGCGTTGTCGTGGCCGAAGTGTTTTGTTTGACGCTGCCAGGAGGTTTTTACGCCGGCGAGGCCCATGATGAACTTTTGGGGGTTGTCAGTGGCAAGCATTGGGGAAGGACATAGAGGGAGAGCGTTACGATGATCTTGGAGGGGCCGTGGCCGTGGATTTCCCAGGAAATGTTGAAGGGCCCGTCACGGTCTTTGGCGACGGGACACTTTCCTGAGCGGTCGGGCTCGAGGTTCCATATCGTTGAGGGATAGGAAGGGTGGTTCATTGTGGCTTCCGCCGTTGGGAAGACGGGGACCCTTACAGCGCATTTTCGTCAGATGAAGCTATCCCCGGGGTTGAGTTGACATGATGAGCAGCAGCGCTTACTTGGTAGCCATGTTTGCGGGTTATCTCTTTTACCCCAGGAACCTTTTTGTGAGGTTGCAGTGCAGATCGTTTGTGAGGTTGAACCTGCGGCTGGATTTAGAATCGTCGTTGGTTTACGCGCATGTATGTAAGGTAGATCGCAAGAGAAAGTGGATTTTGAGCAAAGAGGGAAACAAAAGCTCGAGGGTGGCGATGGGGGCAGGAGGAGGGTGTTACAGATGAGTTTTGATTGAGGCTGTGAGCTGCTCTTGTCTGAGAGACACACAGAGATAGATTGAGAGCCGGGGGAGCTTGATCCTTGAGCTCGAACCCACCCTCCTTGATTGAGAATATGCGACGAAAAGAAGCAAGCGTATTCGCTACCTTGACCCGAACCAGACCTACGGGTTTTTGGCGATTTGCGAGGCGGTTATATCGGAAACAGGACTTATTTAATAAAAGTGCTGCAGAAGGCGGCGTCTGTGAACGCGATCATGGGATCCCACGTTAGCTCGACAGAGATGCTTCAGAGAGGACGGCGGTGACGTTGATGAGTGTCGGTGTCAGTTATCAGGATACATTTCGTCGGTATCCGAAATGGATGTTAGCCGGGAGTACATTGATAGCAGCAGCACTCAGCGGCGGCGCGGGTTCCTGTGACCCCTAGTCCCACATGAACAATGCCTCGGCCCCGGGGAGCTTCAATCGCCGCGTGGAAGCTCCCAGCACATTGGACGTTGGGCGAGACTTTGGCCCCGTATGCCTGAGGTCCGTCGAGAGTTGAAAGAGATCGGATGGCGCGGAATTTTCAAGGTTCTTGAAAGCTTGGGGTTACTCATCTAGTCTTTCACAAAAGGGTCTTTGAGCTTATTGTTGATGGCAAGAAGGCCTTATTCAACCGTTGAAATGTCCAATGCTTCTGATAGTGAGGACGGAACACCGTCCGCGGTACGTACCCGCTTCGCAATAGCTTGGTGACACCCAAGCTCGGGCCACGTGCTGACTTGACTACTTCTCGAGAGAAGCTCACCGCCTGCCTCGTTCCCCCTCCATACGGCAGAATCAACAGCTGGTGCAAGTCTGACCCTGTTTCGTTTGGTCATCGAACAGCTCAGCTCGTCACATCAAGCGAAGAATATTATTTCGTCCTGCGACGCCACATACCTACCGCCTTCAGCAGTTGATCAGCAGCAGATTACATGTGCATGTGAACATCAATTACCGTCCTCAACATGCTACACGCATAGGTACACCTACGCTCCATCATGTGGCTCTCGGTGCCATCAACAGACAGCCTCACCCGGCCGCGCATCGCAGTCGCCGTCGTCTCCGCCATCGCCGCCCTCTCCGTAAGCTACTACGCCTACCAAGCGACCCAGGACGCCTACGGAGATGGCGTCCCCGGCCCAGGCCTTCACCGCAGCAACGCCGTCCGCCGCAATCACCGTCGCACCCGCCGCGCCAACTCCCTCTCCTCGTCTGACGGCGGCGATGGCGACCACGTCCCGGACGAGAACGCCGCAGACCTCGACGCAATCCGGCCTCTGAATGACGGCGACACGATAGTCGACGGCGGCACCGTCGACGAGTGGTGGAACGACCCCAACGGCATGCAGCCCCAGGCCCGCGCGGGGCACAACATCGTCAGCCTGCTGTTCAGGGTCTCGGAGGACAATGCGAGACGGAACGCCTGCGTCCATCGAGGCTGCGCGTGTAACGCCTGCGGCATGGTGCCCATACGCGGCGTCCGCTACCGCTGTGCCAACTGCGCCGACTTCGACCTCTGCGAGACGTGCGAGTCGCAGGGCGTCCACATCAAGACACACATTTTCTACAAGATCAAGGTCCCCGCCCCGCCGTTTGGTCCTAGGCAGATGCAGCCGGTGTGGTACACTGGTGATCCGGAGGCGTGCATAAGGAACCTGCCGCGGTCGCTAATGGCCAAGCTGAGCAAGGAGACTGGGTTCGAGAGGCCCGAGATCGAGGCCTTTTGGGAGCAGTTCTCGTTCATGGCGAACACGGAGTGGCGCGAGGATCCGGACGATTTGCAGCTTGCTATGGACAAGAAGACATTTGAGCGGTGCTTAGTACCCTCTGGTGGCTCCCGACATGCGACACCGAATTTGATACACGACCGGATGTTCTCATTCTACGATACCAACAACGACGACCTCATTGGCTTTACTGAGTTCCTGCATGGACTGGCGTATCGCAAGCGGAAGGACAAGCTGCGCAAGATCTTCGAGGGCTACGACATTGACGGGGACGGTTTCGTTAACCGCCGCGACTTCTTGCGAATGTTCCGCGCGTACTATGTTCTCTACAAGCAGATGCACCGCGATATCCTCGACGGACTGGACGACCAGCTCATGGGCAGCACTGAAGCAATGCAATTGGTGGCCAGCCGGCAACCTCTCAGCAGTCTCTTTGGTCGGGAAGGAAGAGTTCCGCGTGCTGATGGCAACAACCGCAGCGAGGGCAAGATCTTCCACCCCAACGGTGACGTCGAACTGGAACCCGGCAGACAAGGTGCTGTGAGCGAGGATAAGGGCGATACATCGGCGAGAGAGGACGTCTTGACCCGGCTTTTCGCGCCCTACATCGGCAGCCCCTGGACCGTTCAGATGCGGTCTCCCGACAGTGAACCGGATACGCCTTACTGGGATGCCCTGCTGAACCCGCCTACAAGCATGGATGATCTGCCGGACCTGCTCAGTGGACAACGTCGCGAACGCAACGAGCTGGACTTTGACTTTGAACTTGAATTGGGCAGCTCCGACGGTGAAGAGGATGGAAACAACAACTCGGATGCGGAAAACAGAAGCTCGACCGGTGCTGTTGTTGGCCAATCTAACGAGTCGGATAACAGGACCAGAAGAGTCGATTCAGAACAGTTTACTAGCACTATGCCCACAGAAAGCCAACTCCGGGCGCAGGTCATCAACCATAGGAGGCAGCTGGCACCGGATATTGAAAGAAGACGGCGACAAGCCGCAAGGAAGCAACTACACGACAGGTGGAAGAGGAGACAGTTTTACCTCGACGAAGAAGAAGGCGGCCTGGCTCCGGACGGATGGCAGTCTGATGAAGACGTGCTCGTCAACAACCTCAACGGCGTCGCTGAGAGTTCCAAGGCAGCGCAGCAGCAGGTTCTGTCCCCACGCTCGAGATCATCTTCAAAGGTTCGCTTTGCGGAAGAATTGGACGACTACGAGATTAGATCCAACGCATCAGCATCTTCCAGGAGCGTTCCCGAGCGCTGGGGTGGTATGGAGATCCCAGACGAGGAGCGAGACGCGGGCAAGGAGATTCTTTACCAGGTCACCCAGCAGGCATTCAACGAGCTCCTCGATGCCATTTTCAAGGACAAGGAGGATTTGGCTATTCAAGCGGCCGCGTCTCGATCTCAGAGAGAGACGCACAGAGCTCTGTTTGAGAACCTCACCGTTGAAGAGACGAAGCCAAAGGCGACCGAACCGCGACAGCCGCGTAAGGCGCTGGATGAGAGCAAGCCGATTGCTGAGCGATCCCTCGAAGAGTTGCTCTTGACTAGTGGCTATAGAGTTGAGGATTCCGGCGAGGGTGAAAATACTCATCCTGCGGTAGAGGTCGAGCGGGTGATTGAAGAAATCGACGAAACGGATGAGGAGGGTGCTGAG